AAGGAAGGAAGGAAGGAAGGAAGGAAGGAAGGAAGGAATCTATAGGACTTGGTGAGTGACTAAATGTGGTGAGTGAAAAGAAATCAAAGAAGATTCCAAAGTTTCTCACTTGGGTGACCAGGAAACAGTCGTGCTACCTATAGAAATAGTTTACCAGGAGAGGAAGCCAGTTTAGAGGATATGACCAGGAAGTTTGGTTTTTAATATTATTTAGTTTTAACCACTATTCTCTGGACACTTTCTCACTCCCCTCAGAAAACAAATTCTCCCAAATTGCCAAGTAGATTTTCATTGAAATCTTTTTTGTTAACACTAACAATCCCAATGCAAGGGATCTTAACCTTTCTTGTGCTTTGGACCACTTTGGAAGCCTGGGAAAGGCTATGGACCTACTCAGCTCAGTGGTGCAACAGATAAAGCACTGAACTCAGAGTCAGGAAGACCACAGTTCAAATCTGGTCTTGGTCTCAGACACTTACTGACTGTGTGACCCTGAGCATGTCACTTAACCTCTTCCTAACTTAGTTTCCTAATCTGCAAAATGGAAATAAGAGTATCTACCCAGCCCACCTCTCTGGTTATTGTAAGGATCAAATGAGATGATATTTGTATAGTACTTGGCAAAACTTAAAGTGCTGTATAAATGCTGGCTATTATTAAATGCATAAAAGAAAATGCATAGGATGACAAAGGAAACTAATTCTACTGAAATATAGCTATAAAAATGTTTTTTTTTAAATTTCACAAATCCCAGGTTAAGAACTCCTGATCTAAGGATAAGGATAGGGATTAGACCCATGAGTTCAATGGCATAGGAAACTCCCTCTACCAATGTAGGTCAGCACCTTCTCTGCAACTTAAAATCCTAGACAGCTGCCTTGAGCATTAAGAGGTTGTGACAGCCAGGACGTGTCAGTGTTGGGACTTAAATCGAGTCCTCCCTGGCTTCAAAGCCAGCTTTCTATCAACCACACCGTGCTGCCTAGGACTGAACTACCCAGGTTCAAGGAACATTATTTCATGGCAGACTTTAAGTCCTTGGTTATGGCGACCAGCTCTATATATACTGCCCAGGTGTGCCTCACCACTCAGGATTTAAGGAACATTCTACAGCTCCGAGAGGGATCATTCCAAACAATGGGACCAGTATCTATATGGCATATAGACATATGACACCAGAACCATACATTATAATTGACAGAATCCATTTCAAAGCAGTCACTTTGGGAAGCCATACTCTCACAGACACATGAGTCATTGCTCAAAACAGTTTGGAGGTGTCAGGATCACCTACGAATCTGGTTTATAAACTAGAAAAATAGCCTCATTACTTTATTAGTGTTGACTCAAAGTGACAAGAGTAGCTTTAAAAAAGAAAACCAACAAAATTAATTCGATCTTACATGGTATTAAGAAAGCAATGTGCAAAACAGAGATGGTGATGGTCTCATTAAATACACTCCGCTTTAGGCCAAGTCTGTAGTTTTTCACTGAGTTCTGGGCCCCACCTTCTAGGCATGGCAGTGTCCAGGGGGAGCTGGTCTAAAAGAAGTCTAACCATGGTGGTGGGGAGACTGAAAATGTGCCATAAGAGAATCAGTTTGAGGGAATGGAAATATTTAACATAGAGTAGAGGAGACTTTAGGAAGGATATGATAGCTGAATTAAATATCTGAAGGGCTATGATACAAAAGGAATAGATTCATTTTGCATATCCCAGAGGACAGGACTGGAAGTAACAGGTAGAAATTGCAGAGACAGAGTTAGGTTTGATGGAAAGAATTCCAATTCCATTTAATAAACACTTAGTAAGTGTCTACTATAAACCACGTGCTCTGCTAAGTGCTCCAATAAGAGAAAGTCTTTCATGCATTTCCTTGGTAAATGCAATTCCAGGAGGGTTAATGTCATCTGCTGATTCTCTAATTATTAACACTACGCCAGGAATAAAACATTGTTTTCCTGCTTCTGCACACTTCACTTTGAATCAGTTCATATAAATCTTCCCATGCCTCCTCCAGGGCTTTCTCAATGACATCCATGATTACTCAAAAGAGAGCAATCTAAAAATCAATACAAGAAAAACTAACTAGATTAAAGACATCTCTCATTCAGATGAGGACAAAAACAGTTTGAAGGTCAGGCCTCTGATTAAGTCCATTCACATAAAAACATGGCACAGGCATCGCACATGGATAATGCATTGGTCCCAGAAATGAAGAGAGGAAAAGAAAATGGGCTGGTATTTGGGAAATCATACAGTATTTTTCATGATCCCAAGCTACTCTCTGACACAAAAGCCCACCATGTTTCTTGTTAACACCAATCTTCTACTAATGATATCATGTAGAGTTATTCATTGAACAAAAGAATCAGATTGGCAGGTGACCCAAAGGGCAGCCAAGAGGCACAGAATTTGAGCAAATAGGCTTAAAACGCATTTTCTATTTGTTACAGAGAAAATGCAATGGCTCTTGAGTCAGAGGCTCCAGGTTCAAATCCAGCATCTGAAACGGATGTGGCTCACTTAAACTCCCTAGATTTCAGAATCTGTAAAATGAGGGGTTTAGACTAATTGATTCCTGAGGTCTCTTCCAACTCTACATCTTTGATTCCCTGGTCTATTATCAAGGAAATATATGATAGAAAAAGCAGGTGGGCTGGCTATGCTTTGGGAGCAAGCCATGGCGAGCCTGAGTATGGCACTGGCTTAGAGGAAGACCTCCATGATACTAGGCAAATAGCCTAGGGAGGATCTATGGGAGAACATAAGGAAGAATAACATTGCATTAAATTAAAATCTGCACCAATGGAGGGGATACTCAGAGATTGTAGATTGTAGTAAGGAAGAAACTTTTAAGAAAATTGTTCGGAAGTGGAATAGGATGCCTTGGGGAAGTAACATGTTTCCTCTCCTGGGAGGTTTTCAACAAGACAACTAGATGACCAGTTAGTAGGTACATTTTAGAGAGGTTTCTTGGTTAGGTACAGACTAGACTATATTCTCTCCGAGGTTCCTTCCATCTCTGGGATACTGTAATTGTATGGCACTCACTTTTTTGTCCCCAAGCTAGATGGTCTCAAAGCATCTTCTTCTATTCTCTTAGACTGGTTCTTGTTTATTCACCAGACATGTCTCAAAGTGATTATCTCCAAAAATCAAATCTGGCCTCAAAGACTGAAGAGAGACACTGCTGAAGACATTAAGAAAGCAGACCACCAATTTTGAAGGATTACAGAGCTGTTCTGAGTAATGGAAATACACTGTAATAAGTTCATGGCCTCCCAAAGTGACTACTCAGATGGGGACACCACTCATTTGGGTGGATAAGTTTTGGTATGTTATAAAAATAAATCATTTACATCACTTTGATTATAGCTCATATCATCACTTCTCACTTAGACTATTCTAATAGACTCCTAATTGTTTTCTGTGTTTCCAATCTCCCCCTTCTGCCAAAATTGTCTTAAGACATACATGTTACCATGTCATTTCCTTGCAGTGACTCCTTATTGCCTCTAAGATAAAATTACCTGGCATTTAAGACCCTCCAAAATCTAGTCCCAAGCTACTCTCTCATCCTTGTCTCATGCACATCACTCTTTAATCCACACTCAGTTCCAGCCAAAGAGTGGTACCAGCTATTCCCTGAACTCAACACTCCACCCTCTGGCTACTTGTGTTCACTCAAGCCTTCTCTCAGGCCTGGAATATACCATTTCCTCAATCCCACCTACAAAATCCCTTATTGGCACTTAAGGTTCAGTTCAAAGGCCTCCTTTTCCAAGAAGCCTTCCCTGTTCCACTCTCAACTCCCTCTGTTCACTCACCCCAACACATTTTCCCTCTTCAAATTACCCAGTATTTACCTATTTGCGGACATCTTATTTGAGGGTCAGAATTTTTGCTTTTGTCTTTGAATCTCTAACAGTCAGCACAGTACCTAGAACACAGTAGGTGTTTAATATTTGTTTAATTAAGGTTCAATAACAGATTAATGATTGTTACCTCTGTCTTACATTAATTCCTAATGTTAATGTCCACTGTAAATATATCAGAAATTTTTGTTGTTGTTCAGTCATTTTAGTCATGTCTGACTCTTCATGACCCCATTTGGTGTTTTCTTGACAAAGATATTAGCGTGGTTTATCATTTTCTTCTCCAGCTCATTTTACAGATGAGGAAGCTGAGGGAAACAGGGTTAAGTGACTTGCCCAGGGTCACACAGCTAGTAAGTGTCTGAAGCTTGATTTGAACTCAGGTCTTCCTGACTCCTGGCCAAATGCTCAATCCACTTCACCACCCAGCTACCCTATCAGAATTACCTGTTAATTATATACATTCCTGTATCTTCAATTTCTTCATGATTTGATCTCAAATCAAACTTGCCAATGAAAATGCTCAACCTAAATATTAGTCCCACAAGAAGACGCCCCAGTTAATACCTGTTATAGAGCACATGAACTACTAGGGAGATGTTACAGCTAAAAATTATGTGGTTTCACTGTATTGGGGAATCTTCCATCCAAGAGGATGAGAATCCTTTTATCCATTACTAAATAGAGTCTATGAGAGAGCTGGATTTGGATTCAGAGGCCTTTGTTTCAAATATTGACTAGGAACTTAGTAGCTGTGTGAGTTCAGGCAATTCACAACCTCTATTGCCCTTAGTTTCCCCATGGGTAAAATGAAGGGTTTAGATTAGATGATCTCTACGGCCCCATGCATCTCTAAATCTCCACCTTCTGATGACCCCCAGAACTGAGGCAGGTTCTTAGGTAACAGACACAGCTTGTTCCTGGGTCTGTACTTGGATCCTTTCCAACTCAGAAGAATCTGACAACATTTATCCTCTACTGAGAAACCTATGAGAAATCAGGGTCACCTCCGGCAACAGATGAGAAGCTGGGGCAAGATTTCAATGGGGGTAATAGATATGTGCACACAAACATAAGGGATCAACATTAATTTATAAAGATAAAGCTAATGAATCACTCACTGTAAGTAGGGCAGGGGGCTCTCAAGTTGTTTTTTCGAGTAATGGTAATGAATTCCTGAAAGTCCACCTATTGGCTGATTTCCCTTGTGATCAACAGCATTCATTTGGCAGACAGTTGCTTAGTTAACAGTATTCTGTGGTTGTGTAAGAGTGAAAATTGCAGTCAACATAGGGATGGACCCTATACCTTCAAAGCAGTTAAATAAAAACAAGTATAATCATAAAATAAAGTCAAAACTTTGGCTTCTCCCTAGCCCCATCCCTGCAGCCAGTACAGAATTAATAACATGTCACATTCATATAGCATTTTAAGTGTTTGCTTCACAGCAAACCTGAGATGTATGTAATGCAAGCAATAGTGTCCCCATTTGATATATGTGGTAACTGAGGTGCTGACATTTTCCCATAATCACACAGCTAGTATCTGGAAGAACCTGAATCTAGGTGTTCATATTTCAAGTACAGTGCTCTTATCTAATAAGCCACAATACAAAAACAACAACAAAAACCCAATTGTGAATAAGTAAGGGAATATCGGGAAAACAAAAAAAATCCTGAAGATTAATAAAGAATTCCGATTACTCATTATACAGAGCCAAATCATAGAAGGTATAGTCTTACAACCTGTGACATGAACTGATTAACTTGTTGGTGATAAGCTTACAGCATGAGGCACTGCTGACAAAACTCGATATATAATTACTCTAAAAACATCCCAAATTTCCGGACTCAAGGAATTTCCCATTCTCCACCCCCCTGCCTCCCAACCCCCAAATATGCAACTTCTGAGCTGTATTCACTGACATTCCATACTTAAGATGTAACTGGTCTTTGGAGTTGTTAGAAGTTCAGTGTAAATGTTTTCTTCAACTGAAAACTTTGAGTTCTAATGCTATGATTAATGAAGAACAGTGTGCTCTCATTAAACAAAAGGTAAATCTCCAAGACATAAAACAAACTGGACACAAGGAGTTACAAGTGATACATGGACTTGTCATCTTTACCCCAACCCACCAAACTGTCTGATTCCATTCTTAGAAATTATTAAGCAGAATTGTCCAACAGCCCCATTTAAAATACCCAAACATTAAGCTCAAAAATTCTTCCCACACCACTGTGATATTGGAGCCAGAGCCTCAAATTTGTGGGAAACACTGCAGATTACCAGAAAGAGTATTTAATCTTTGAAATTATCATTTTAATAAAGACTTCTTCACTGAGTTGGAGTTTCCAAAGGGGACAGAAAAGTTTGGAAATTGGTGTCTAAAAGCAAAAGCATCATGGAACATTAGTATCTCACCAGGCTTGGTCAACACTGGCCTCAGGTTCAAGTTAGAATGGGTCAAGTATAGAATGCTTTTCTTCTCTCAAAAATGCTACCTTCTCTTTCCTAATGATACAATGTTAAAAACTGCTAATATTTATATAGTGCTTTAAAGCTGGCACAATACTCTTCTCACAACCACTCTAGCAGATACTATATTATTATCTGCAGTTTATAGATGAAGAAACTGAGTTTCAGAGAGATTAAGTGATTTGCCCATAGCTGCACAGTAGGACCTAAGTCTGTGGATTCCAAGTCTTTTTCTACTCAGCCACACTGCTGCTCTTTATGTCTCCTCTTCCTCACCATCACATTCAGATTTGCAAAATTTCTTCTTTCTTGACTTCAACTCTGTGTATCCCTTCATATAATAATGGCACTAGTCTTATTCATTTGTCACAACTTAAATATCACTACATTTAAAAATGCATTAGAAGTCATCTCATAAAGACTAAGATCAAATCTTTCTAATTTCTCAAACTTTAGAGACACAGGGATGTGGGGGGGGGGGAGTTTCTTGGCTGTAAGACAGCTATATAACCCCAGATAATAGAACAAAATATATAACCTATTATTCTCAGTCCAAATCCACATTCAACAATGTAAGGTTTTCTAAGACATATAATTCTAGTAACTGACTAGTACCAGGAATACCCAATGTGGATGAAATCACAAGTCAGTACAAAATAAAAAGAGGGAAAAAAAAGACTTGTCAGGTAACCTAACAATCTTGATAACTATGGAGTTGCAGAAGTTTTCATTGTTTTGAAGTCTTTTCCCCTCTACACATTGAATTTTGACGGTTTACATTTAGATATCCAAGAGAATTTTAGCAGATTCTGGCAGAAAGTGGTAACCAATCTGTACTGAATCACAATGGACATTATTAGGTGTGCATAAATACATTCTTGCCCCCTTACCCAGAATGCTCACAACTAAGTTTTTAAAGGTAAAGTTAGAGGTAGATGACATAGGCAAACAAAGATAATACTAACGTTTCAGTCTTTTTTAAGATGAGATTTGGGGGTTATCCTTTCTCCTCCCCCTGCCCTTAAAGCACTGATATAGAAGAGATCTGGATTTTAAAGGTGACATCAAAGTATTTAAAGTTTGACCTACCCTTTCCTTTTAGGCTGGATTTTGTGAGTAAGCTTTCCCCAGCATTCCTTAAGTCAGCAGGCCCTTGAAACAAAGCACAATGGTAAGGTTTTAGCAAGTGAGATAACCCTTTCCATCCAAGAGGTGGAAAACAACATCTGTTAAAACCAAATAAGATGCAGTGATGGGTTTAGCAACAGACCCAGAGGATTTCAGAAACACAGTTTTTCCTTGTAAGAGGGAAAAAAAAATAAAAGGCACAACAATTGCCTCATACTCAATTCTCCAAGCCCCAGCACTCCCCTTAGATTAATTAGGGTGGATTCTGGCCAAATTTATTTAAACAGGACTTTGCATTCCTACAGGAACTTCTTTCAAGTTCATTACAACCACAAAATTAGAAAAATGTCTTCCTTCAAATACATCCAATGGGGGGTGGGGTAGAAAACTCAGGTCTCACCAGCAGCTTTCTCCTGAATACGTGTGACATAACTGATTTTTAAAATTCCTTCATCAAGGAAAAAAAAACCTATCATCACAATGTTGGCTTTTCTCACTGAACAAATAGGCCCTTGTTTACTCCTGGTGCCGTAGATCACCCAAGTAGATCACCCAACGCAACAGATGAGCTACACAGCAGTATGTGACTAATCTGTGGCCAGAGATTACGATGAGATAGACGAGCTAATCCAAGTTTATATAACATTTCACACTATTCCACACCTGGATGTTTTAAATAACATAGGGAAGTTTTTTAAAAATCCAACCCTTTTTGTTTTCAAGTATAGCCTCCCTCCAAGTAATATTGTGGTTCCCACCTAATTGTCTAATATTAAAAAAAACCAAACCCACCTGTAGTTATGGAATGACTATAATAATAAAATTTATACAGCTCTTTAAAGATTTCAAAGCACTTTACAAACATTTTATTAGAGACTACTAACAACCTGATGAGGTAAATGCTAATATATTATAACACCCCTTTACAAATCAGGAAATGGAAGCAGTGTGTGGTTAAATAACCTGCCCAGGATCACACTAATAGGTGTCCAAGGCAGTATTTGAATACAGCACTCTGATTCCAAATCCATGCCACCTCAGCTGCCTATTTTCTGAATAAAGATAGGGGAAAGAGATTCTTATAGATTTTATATGTTACAGATCATCTCTGATTTTAATGAATTTACTAAATTACCTAATCTTATATTGAGAAATGCAACCCTTCCCCCCACCAAAACCTCACTATTCATAGCCTAAAGTCCTAAAAGCAGTTTTCTAAGGAATTTGGCTTTCCAAGTGACTCTTAATTTGCCTTAATACAATACTGTACTTCTAGTTTAACCTAACTCTTCACATTTCTCAAGTTTAGTTTCCAAAACTTAAAGCATTTAGCAATATACCTTGAGAATCACTACGAAGTAGTGGACAGAGAATGGGCCAGGGAGTTAGGAATGCAAAATTACAGTCCTGCCTCTGATACAAACCAGCTTTGTGACCATGGACAAGTCACTTAATCTACCCATCTCCCTCTGACTATAAATTACAGAGTTGCAGAACTTTATCTACAAAGGGAGTTTCCATCCTGGGAGCTCCCCCAAGCTGAAATCTTAGATCCAGACCAAAAAAGAAATAAAATAATAGTATAACATTGTAATCTCCAACAATTCAAATGCTAAGCCTTCTTTTTATATTAAAAAGTACTGTTCAGTACATGCAATTTAAAAATCATCTAACCTCACTTCTATTTTTAAAAAAAAATGAATTCCCAACTCACACTGATTTTGATCTCTTTGAAGATTGTGGACTCTCCTGTTTGCTGGACTGAAAAAGAATGGGGCAAAGAGGGAAGCTCTGCAAGATGGAAAATAGAATGAACAGAAAAAGAAATGCCATTCAAACGTCAGAGCTAGGAACACTGAGCTATACCCCTCTACTACTACATCCCTCTTTCTCAGTGGGAAGATAATTCACGGCAGGATCCGAGAAATGAAACTGGGGGCGGGGAGAGGAGGGAAAGGTGATACAGTATGGCAGGGGTGGGGGGAAAGTATCAGATTTGCTCAATCTAATTCTGACTAGCTTAACACACATGTACACCCCAGTGAGTTTACTGGGCATGGTCAAGCTTCACTGACCAAAAAAGTTTTCATTTCTGATTCTTTAGTAGTGAAATCACGGTTTATTTTTTTTAAACACACAGAAGCATCGGAGGTATTAGTTTCTATTACCAGTAACAAGAAAGAAGCAAAAGCGGGTCTTTTAATCGTGTGGGCTGCAGCAGCAGGAATACAACCCTGGTTCAGTCCTGTGCTTGTGGTCTCAACATCTAAGAAAGCTGTAGTTGCTGTGACATTTTATGACCGATTACAGCACTTCTCTTTGCAGGGGTGGGGCGAAAAGGGGGATTGGGGTGAGATGCTTGAGGGAATGAAAGACAGAACAGGCTTCAAGACTCATAAATGAGCTGATTAACTGGATTTACTGCATCTTTTACAGTATCTCTCTCTCTCTCTCTCTCTCTCTCTCTCTCTCTCTCTCTCTCTCTCTCTCTCTCTCTCTCTCTCTCTCTCTCTCCCCCCCTCCCCCCTCTCTTAAAAAGAACAATAAACACAAAAGAAGAGACACGTAGTGCTCAGAATAATCCCCCAGACCTTAAACTGTGTATGGTGTACACGTGGGTGTGTTCCAGCAGTGGCAGGAGCTGAGGAGATCATGCAACCACCAGCCTTTCCCTTGCCTGTGGTCATTTAAACAGGCAAAAGGCCGAGGCCGGGGCCGGGGGAGGGGTGGCGGGGAGGGGTGGCGGGGGGGGGAGAAAAAGAAAAGGCAAAGGGCAGAGCTCTGAATTTGGAAGTTTAAAATGTTAATGCAGCTAGTCCCCGATGTAGGGTTACCACAGAGGTGAAGCTTCCCAAAGGGGGTCTGCTGCTTTGCGGTTGCCTTAAGAAGAGATGTCAACAAGGAAACGCTGCAGGGTCGCCTCCTATGAAGTTGGGGAACTCGAAGGACAGGGAGGAGCCTTCAAAAAGAGAGGGGGCAAAAGACACCCGGTTGTCCTCTTCGCCCCTGTGATAGGTTGATGCCGAGGGAGCAAAGGGACAGTCAAGGCGAAGCTTGCGTCCTGGAGATCCCGAGAAGACAGAAAGCTGGCGGAGAGAGAAGGGGCTGTCTTCCCGGGGAATTTGGTAGGCTCCAGCGGCGTGCGCCCAGGGCGCAGCCCTGGAACCGAGAGCGCGCAAAAAGGGCACAGAGTCCGTTACTCCCCAGTCAGGGGGTGGGGGATGAGGGGGGGGAGGCGATGAGGCGGGCACTTCGGGTGGCAGAGCCGCCGCCGCCTCCCGGACCAACGCTACCCTGGGCAGAACCAGAGCAAGGAGGACGCCCAGAGGGGCTGCAGTGCCGCGGGATGGCAGCGATCCTCTGGGGGCTTGCGGCGGCTGAGGGGAGGGGGCGCAGGTTGGCTTCTGTTATTACTGTCCCTCACCCAAAGCAATCCAAAGGAGAGGACTGAGGGGCGGCGGCAGGTCCCAGGCTCCAAAAGTTCGGAGGAGAAAAAGGCAGGGCTCGAGCTGGAGAACAGACACATGAAAGCGGTGTAGAAATTGGGGGGAGGGGTGCAAGGCAGAAGACTAGGAAGTCAGGGACTTACCGAGAGGCTCCCTCATGCTGCCTCCCGCTGCTGGCCCCGCCGCCGCCGCCGCCGCCGTCCCCGGCCGCGGGGTTGTGAGCGAGCAAGCAAGCGAGAGAGAGAGAGCAGCCCAGCCTGAAGCGGCCGCTGCTGAGCGAGCATGCCTAGTCCGCCTCGCCCTCCTCCTCCTCCTCCTCCTCCTCCTCCTCCTCCTCCTCCTCCTCCTCCTCCTCCTCCTCCTCCTCCTCCTCCTCCTCCTCCTCCTCCTCCTCCTCCTCCTCCTCTCCTCCTCCTCCTCCTCTCCTCCTCTCCTCCTCCTCCTCCTCCTCCTCCTCCTCTCCCCCGGCTTCTGCCGCCACCTCCCCCTTGCCCCCTCCCCCGGCCCTCTCTCCTCCCCCCTCCTGCCCTACCTCCTCCCCCCAAGCGCAATGACTTGGAAGTGAGTGCCTACCTCCTGGCCTGCTACTTGGGCGTGCAGCCCCTGGTAAGAGGTTCGAGTCTCAGCTGGGGTGCAAGGTGGCGGCGCTGGGAGAGGTAGAGACAAGGAAAGTGGGGGGGGGGAGGAAGGAGGGAGAGGGATAGGCAGAGGGAGGGAAGCGAGAAGATCTGAAGAGGGATGGGGGAGAAGAAAAGAAAGGAGGGAGAAAAAGAGGAAGGGATCAGGGTAACCTTCGGGAAAGAACTAGAGTGCCCTCTTTTCTAGCACAGGTGGGCTGGTCTGGGCTTCCCTCCTTAACTTGGCGGCTCACCTGTACTTGAGCTGTGTCCTATACTTGAGCTTTGTTGCTCTGGACCAAACACCCGCAATACGTGTGCCATGAATGGATGAGATGGCAGAGGCATATGTGCCCTGCATGTAGGGGTGCATCCGAGGAAGAGCACCTATATGAGGAAGGAGACAGTGGAAGCCTCGGATGGTGACAGACGTGAACTTGGGGTTTTGCTTTTAAATAAAGCCCCTGGGGAAACCGGAACGTGGGAGTGGGAAGGGACCTTGGAGGCCATCCAGAGCCCCATTTTCTAGATGGGCAGATGGAAGCCCAGAGTTAAGTGGCTCACCCGAGGTCACTCAGTAAGTAGTCTAGGGCCAAACCTGGGACTAAAAGTTAAATCTCCAGCCTGGGCTTTATCTATAATTGCACATTAGCTCAGAGATGTGGCAAGTCAAGCTCCTTCCTGCCTTGTTATCTTAACAAGAAAAGCTAAAAAGTAAATAAAACCATTTTTCTTTTTGAAAGGGCCCTGAATTCGGAGTCAGAAGTGGGCCAAAATTCTGGGTTTGCTTGGTTTCTGTTTAATTTAGAGTTGATTTCTGGTGTCTCTTCATGTTCTAAATCTTATGCCTTTCAGGGAAAAAAAAATTTAATTAAAATTAAAAATTAAAAAAATTAAAATCTCAAAATGTGTGTGTGTTCCTCAGAGGTTTGCTTCGCTTGTATGAAGTAACTAAATGAGTGATGAACTTTTGAGTCAGGAAAACCTGGATTCAGGTTCTTGCTCTGATACTTACTTGCTGTGTGATGGGGGCAAATCCCCTAAACCTCTGAGCCTCATTTTCTCAGTAATAATATTTAAATAAGTACCAGCCTCCCAGAATTGTTTTGAGAATGTAAAGAAGGTCTTTGCAAACCTTTTAGCGTTACATAAACGTTAGCTGTTAGTATATTTATAAATAGCTTTGGCCAGTAAGTTCAACCTAGGTAAAAATGAGCTCCACGTTGACCCTAATTATCACTTTTCAGGAAATTATTTAATACAAATAACCATATATGGAATACTTAAGTGTCTGGCACCATCCTAGGCGCTGTGAGGTACAAAAGAAGTCTTTATAAGTAGTTTATAATCCATTTGTGGAAATGCACAATGAAAAATTAATGGGGAAGATAGATTTTTTGGGGTTCATACATATGATTTCATTAGGCATAAGGGACCCCAAATCTGAATAACCCCTTCCACCAAAACAGATCAGGACCTCACCAGTAACTTCCAGTGTTAGAGTTGCCTGTGGTTGAGTGACATGTCCATGATCATACAGCTAGCAGGAGACAGAAGCAGTCCTCAGACCCAGAATTTCTTGACTTCAGGGTCAGGCCATCATACATTAGGCCATACTTCCCTTCAGTGGCAAAAGTAGGTAACAAAGTACTGAATTGTGCTGTACAGATAACAGGATTGGCAATGATATTATAAAGTTTGTATTGTCCCCAACTGACATCATAGCTCCTCCTTAACTCCCTTTCTCTGAAATTAAGCTATCTAGGTCATCTTTGCCCTCACCCCACCCCCAGAATCAACCTACTGGAGAGTCCCTACTCACCAAGGGAGTTTTCAACATGTGCTAAAGGAACATATTATTGAATAACAACACACTTCATACATATTCCAAGTAGAAAAAAAAACCTGCCAACCTTCCATAAGTCTTTTTAGCCATAGATTAGTGCAGGAAATAATAGCCAGGAGGTTCTTTTCCATTAGAATGTGAACTTCTTGAGGGCAGGAGATGTATTTGACTTTCTAGGCATCCCTAACACTTAGCTTAGTGCCCTGGACATAGTAAGTGCCTAATAAATGCAAGCTGACTTAACTTGAATTGCCATTTAAAAAAAAATAAAGTATGATATGCACCCCAATGGTTAAGTGATCAAAAGCTATGAACAAACAATTCTCAGAAAAAGAATTGAAAACTATTAACAACCACATGAAAGAATTCTTTAAATCACTAACAAAAAAAAGCAAACCAAAACAGTTCTGAGGTTTTATTTTTCTTTAATTTAATATTTTCCTCCAATTTCATGTAAAAACAATTTTCCATATTCATTTTAAAAATTGAGCTCCAAATTCTCTTCCTCCCTCCTCACCCCGTCTTTGAAAAGGTAAGCAATTTGACATAGGTTCTACATGTGTAATCATGCAAAACATATTTCCATATTAGTCATGTTGTAAAAGAAAACACAGGTCAAAATACAAACCCAAGAAAAATAAAGTAAAAAAAGTATGCTTCCATCTGTATTCAAACTCCATCAGTTCTTTCTTTGGGGATGAATAGCATTTCTCATCATAAGTCCTTCAGAGTTGTCTTTAATCCTTGCATTGCTGAGAATAGCTAAGTCATTCACAGTTGATCATCTTATTATATTCCTGTTACTGTGTACAATGTTCTCCTGGTTCTACTCATTTCACTTTGCATCAGTTCACATAAGTCTCTCCAGGTTTTTCTGACAGCATTTAGCTCATCATTTCTTATATCATATACATCTTGTATTCCGTCACATTCATGTACCGCAAATTGTTCAGCCATTCCCCAATTGATGGGCATCCCCTTAATTTCCAGTTCTTTGTCACCAGCAAAGAGCTGCTATAAATATTTAGGCATAATTCCAAATTGCTCTACAAAATGGTTGAATCAGTTCACAATTTCACCAACAGTGCATTAGTGTCTCAGTTTTTCCATATCTCCTCAAGACTTAGCATTCGCCTTTTTGTCCTATTAACCAATGTAATAGGTGTGAGGTAGTTCCTCAGTATTACTTTATTTTGCATTTTTCCAATCAATAGTGATTTAGAGCATTTTTTCATATTGCTATAGATAGCTTTGATTACCTCATCTGAAAACTGACTTCATATCTTTTGATCATTTGTCAATTGGGAAATGGCTCAAATTTTGAAAGTTTGACTCATTTCTCTATATATTTGAGAGAAGAGGCCTTTATCAGAGAAACTTCCTTCAATTTTTTTTAACAGTTATGATTGCTACTATCCTATTCCCCCCCCATTTATTCTATTCTGTCTCTCTCCTTTCACTCTGTCCCTCCTCAAAAGTGTTTTGCTTCTGACTATTGCCTCCCCCAATCTACCCTCCCTTCTATGAGTACCCCCTCCTTCTCTTATCCCCTTCTTCTCCTACTTTCCATCAGAGTAAGATAGAATTCTGTATCTGAGTGTGTATGTTATACCCTCTTTGAGTCAATTCTGATGACAATGGGTTCAAATGTTGCCTGCCACCTCCCACATCTTCCCCTCCACTGTAATAGCTCTTTCTTGCCTCTTAATTCACCCCATTCTACCTTTCCCTTTCCCTTTCTTCCAGTGCATTCTCCTTTCTCACCCTTTAATTTTATTTTAAAAAACATCATCCTATCATTCAGCTCACACGTGTGCCCTCTGTGTATATATTCCTTCTAACTACCCTAATAATGAGAAAGTTCTTAAGAGTTACAAGTATCATCTTTCTATGTAGGAATGCATACAGTTTAACCTTATTAAGTCCTTTATAATTTCCCTTTGCTGTCTACCTTTTTATGTTTCTCTTGAGTCTTGTATTTGGAAGTCAAATTTTTTATTCAGCTCTAGTTTTTTCATAAGGAATGCTTGAAAGTTCTCTATTTCATTGAATGTCTATTTTTTCACCTGAAGGATTATACTCAGTTTTTCTAGGTAGGTGATTCTTGGTTGTAATCCTAGCTCCTTTGCCCTCTAGAATATCATATTCCAAGCCCTCTGATCCTTTAATGTAGAAGCTGCTAAATCTTGTGTTATCCTGACTGTGGCTCCATGGTACTTGAATTGTTTCTTTCTGGCTGCTTGCAATATTTTCTCCTTAATCTGGGAGCTCTGGAATTTGGCTATAATATTCCTGGGAATTTTCATTTTGGGTTCTCTTTCAGAAGGTGATTGGTGGGTTCTTTCAATTTCTATTTTACCCTCTGGCTCTAGAATATCAGGGAAGTTTTCCTTGATGATTTCTTGAAAAATGATGTCTAGGCTTTTTTTTTTATCATGACTTTCAGGAAGTCCAATAATTTTTAAATTCTCTCTTCTGTCTGTTTTTCAGGTCAGTTGTTTTTCTAATAAGATATTTCACATTATCTTTTTTTTTCATTCTTTTTGTTTTGTTTTATTGTTTCTTGATGTCTTATAGGGTCACTAACTTCCACTTGCTCAATTCTAATTTCTAAGAAATTATTTTCTTCAGTGAGGTTTTGTACCTCTGTTTCCATTTGGCCAATTCTATTTTTTAATGAGTTTTTCTCTTTAGTGAATTTTTGTATATGTTTTTTTCCATTTGACCAATTCTGCTTTTCAAGGCATCCTTCTCCTCATTGGCTTGTTGTACCTCTTTTACCATTTGGCCTAATCTGTTTTTAAAGGT